GACCAGGTAGCTTTTGCACAGCGCTACGCAGCCGATGAAAAGATAATGCCACTTGACTTATTTGGAGTGAGACCTCTGCTGTCAAACCGGATATGGTCATAAGCACACTGCCCAGGTATGGAAACCTCTCCACTCTGTCCACAACTGTCCCATCACCAATGGGGAGTTGAGGGAGTGGAGTGGTTGATGGCACAAAATACCCAGAAAGGTGCTTAGTTGCACGCTCTAGGTCTATCAGCAATGCCTCCAACTCCTCCTCTAAGTGAAGACATCCCTCGACCGCACCCGGGCATCGATAAGCCTCCCATTGTATCTGTACCAGGTAGAGATTCCTCCAGTACAGGCATGGAAGGCTTCTGGAACTGCGGGGTTGAAGATAATGTTAAATATTGTGGAAGCTAGAGGATATCCCTGTCACACCCCAAGGTGAACAGGGAATGGCTTTGACTCCTGGCCATGTAGCTTTACCTGGGCCTGCCCACAATCATGAAGGTTATTAATGATTGTGAGCAGAGAGTCAGAGCTCAGGCCTATTGATGGTAGCATTGGCTAAATTTCGATTTAAAGCTTTCGTGACTGCAAGGATTCATCTTCTATGGTTCTTTCAGTAAAGTCACGGAGAATGAGAATAAAATAATAAATTAATAAAACAAAATAACACAATAAAATTATCACGTTTCAGCAACAACACAAGTGGCCTTCATCAGGTGAAGGGACGAGACTGTCTCGAGGACAGCGCTGGAGCAAACACAGCCAAGCTCAGACCGCGACCTTTAAGCTATGTGAGAAGAAACAGAGCGCCTTGACGAAGGAATTAGGATAAGAATCCACCCATGTTTTCGCCATATAGCATTGTGATATATAACGACTTATTGTTGGTAGCTTAGCTGATTGGAGAATATATAGAGTTTATTGATAACATTGAGATATTTTGATTTAAAGCTTTCGTGACTGCAGTAATTCATATTCTTAGTTTTTTCGGTAAAGTCACGTTGAAGAGAAACAACAAAATAACAAAATATATATAAAACAATAAAAAATTCTCACGACGTTTCGACCATAACTCAAACGGTCATCATCAGGTGTGTCGGTTTGCATAAATTTATTTTGAAAACGGCATATTTATTTATTTATATATATATATAAAATAACGTTTGCGTCACGCGCAGCGATTGGCAGTTTGCCCAGGACTAGTCCATCTATTTTTTGAAAAGAGGAGGGGGGAGACGAAATTTGTTTTTATGTATGCTGTCTGAAAGCCACTGTAAGCAATCATTGGAAAGATTTGATAAATCATTTCAGTTCTTGATTGATTGTTCACGCTTACAGTGGCTTTCAGACAGCATACATAAAAACAAATTTCGTCTCCCCCCTCCTCTTTTCAAAAAATAGATGGACTAGTCCTGGGCAAACTGCCAATCGCTGCGCGTGACGCAAACGTTATTTTTTATATATATAAATAAATAAATATGCCGTTTTCAAAATAAATTTATGCAAACCGACACACCTGATGATGACCGTTTGAGTTATGGTCGAAACGTCGTGAGAATTTTTTATTGTTTTATATATATTTTGTTATTTTGTTGTTTCTCTTCAACGTGACTTTACCGAAAAAACTAAGAATATAACATTGAGATAGTTTATATTTTAGTTTTTATTGGTTTACTATATGGTATTCATTATATAGTGTAGTGTATACCAAGTTACTGTTAATAGCTCAGCTTATTGAAGAATATATTGAGTACATTTATTATATTGATGTAATTTAGACTTAGGTTTTTTCACATCGGTTTACAATATGATAGTCGAGTTGTTGCAGCCCCTTTGGCGTCCATGTACTAGGTGCCTCTGTAGATGTGTAGGCTTTGACTTTAACATAGCTATTTCTATGACCAGTCACAAGCTAATCCCTCAGTTATTTCAATGCTAAATTCTCCTGTTTGATTTATACTAGGTGCCTCTGTGGATGTGTAGGCTTTGACTTTAACATAGCCATTTCTGTGACCAGTCACAAGCTAATCACTCAGCTATTTCAATGCTAAATTCTCCTGTTTGATTTGTACTAGGTGCCTCTGTGGATGTGTAGGCTTTGACTTTAACATAGCTATTCTTATGACCAGTCACAAGCTAATCCCTCAGTTATTTCAATGCTAAATTCTCCTGTTTGATTTGTACTAGGTGCCTCTGTGGATGTGTATGCTTTGACTTTAACATAGCTATTTCTATGACCAGTCACAAGCTAATCCCTCAGTTATTTGAATGCTAAATTCTCCTGTTTGATTTGTACTAGGTGTCTCTGTGGATGTGTAGGCTTCGACTTTAACATAGCTATTCTTATGACCAGTCACAAGCTAATCCCTCAGTTATTTCAATGCTAAATTCTCCTGTTTGATTTGTACTAGGTGCCTCTGTGGATGTGTATGCTTTGACTTTAACATAGCTATTTCTATGACCAGTCACAAGCTAATCCCTCAGTTATTTGAATGCTAAATTCTCCTGTTTGATTTGTACTAGGTGTCTCTGTGGATGTGTAGGCTTTGACTTTAACATAGCCATTTCTGTGACCAGTCACAAGCTAATCACGCAGCTATTTCAATGCTAAATTATCCGAACCAAACATTAAACTAATTTTCAATGGTACAGTATATTTTTTCAAGTAGTGGTATCCCAAACTTTCGCAGCAGCTTAAATTCCCTTTTCACACCATCAATATGTAAACTCCCCCTCCCCTCCTCGCCGGTCTGCACATGTTCACCCCCTCTACACCGTTCATCATGCTAAGTCCGCCAATTAAATGCTAATTTTTATGCTAATTCCTTTGTCAAGGCGCTCTGTTTCTTCTCACAGCTTAAAGGTCGCGGTCTGAGCTTGGCTGTGTTCGCTCCAGCACTGTCGTCGAGACAGTCTCGTCCCGTCACCTGATGAAGGCCACTTGTGTTGTGGCCAAAACGTCGTGAGAATTTTATTGTGTTATTTATTTTATTAATTTATTATTTTATTCTCATTCTACATGACTTTACCGAAAGAACCAAAGAAGAGGTATCATAGGCCTTGACCAAGTCAATAAAGCAAAGCTGTAGGTCCTGTTGGAATACTCTACACCTCTGCTGTAGCAGACGGACAGAAAATATGGCATCTGTGCAGGACCGCCCTGACCTGAAACTACATTGGAGCTCTGTAAGCCTCTCCTCAGCATGCCTGGCAAGGCAATGTTGAATAATCCTTGCCAGGGCCTTTCCTGGAATACTGAGGAGGGAGATGCCCCTGTAGTGGTTACAGTCTGTGCAGTTCCTCTTCTTCAAAACGGGAAACACCAGGGCATCCTTCCAATCCTAGGGAATCTGTCCAGTGGTCCAGACAGTTATTATGATGTTGTATAGGGCAGTCTGCACAGATAAACCATCCCCTTCCTCAGCAGTTCGCTTGGGAGATCATCTCTGCCCGACGCTTTTCCTGGTTTTAGACTGCAGATTGCCTTCTATACTTCCTCAACAGATGCCACCTCAGCCAACCACTCACAAGCGGTGGCAACTTTTGCCAATATTTGAGGCACGGCAGTCCCATTAGGGTTGTCCCCAATTTGCCCCATGATGTTTTCCCACCACTCACCCTTGCACGGCACAGCTCTGTGAAGCTCCGAGCAAAAGCTGCGGTAAGCCTGCTCATTCTCCGATGTTGGATATTGTAGACAATAGGAGTGGGCCTGTCATTTTCTCTCAACCAGCTGGAACACATTCTCTTTCACCCAGGGCCCCTCGGGAGGTCTGGACTGCACTTCCGATTAGCACGGTTGGCTACGTATGGTGCAAAAAAAGTTCAACATACATACGTACAATTCAGATATTGCAGCTGCATGAGCCACATTTTTTAACCTCCCCCATTTTGCCTCAGCATCAGGAGGAGGTACGGATGATGTCAACCGCAGCTGCAAGCGATGTTGAAATACCTTCTTGCACCTATCCTCAGCTAGCAGAGATCAGGCGACTGTGGGTTTGAATGGTGTCCCAAATGAATACCCACTACTGGAGTAGTGGGTATTATCAAGCTGATAATATAATTCATCAGTGGGCAGATTAGCTCCATGGTATGTCCTGGTGTCAAGAACATGGGCCCATATCCGATGTTCCATCAATATATAGTCCAGCAGATGTTCTTGATTGGACCCAGCATGCATCCATGATTGTGTGTGGATGTACCGTTGCCAGAACAGTGTGTTGGTAATTATAAGCACATGGGCTGCAGGGAAGTCTAGCAGCCTCTTACCAATGTTATTGAACTGATCTGGTCCATGCTTTCCAATCACTCCTGCCAGGTGCCTGCATCATGGCCCACTCGGGCATGAATGTTACCAAACAGGATGACTCTATTCCAAAGGGCCACATTAGCTATCACCTATGGCAGGAGGTCATAGAAGGCATCTGACTTACCAGCCTTGCCTACATCCCTCCACTGATGTTCATCTTCAGTGGGGGCGTAAGCCACAACCACCATTCCTCACCTGACACTGATGGGGAGGCGAGCCCATAGTAGCCTTGGGCTTATAGCTACCCGCACCTCACCACCATGCTCCCATGCTTCCTTTATTATTTTGTTTAGAAGATGAGCCACTCCCTGCTGTTGGCAGTTTCCTGCCCCAAGTAAAGGACTGCCCACCCCTCATAATGACAGGAGCCAGAACCAGTCCACCAGACCTGCTGAATACAACAGAGATCCAGGCAGTAACCGGTCCAGGTCCCAACAGAGTGGCAGCCTCTCCTTCTAAGAGTTTGAACATTCCACGTGGGCAAGTGCAATGGCTTTTTGCCGTCTATGGAGGAAACATGCACACCGACATGCACACACACACCAACACGCGCACACACACAGAGACGCAAAAACACACCAACACACGCGCACACACACCAACACCCACAAAGATACACACACATACCCATACATACAGACAGACGCACCGACATGCACACACAATAATATAGGATTATTATTAAGGATGGACGTACCTTACACCCGAGTGGTAGTGCCTTGCGCCAACAATTCCTGCTCCAACTGCAAGCCAAGCAGCCTTCTGTAAAATACCGAGCAAGTGTTTCATGAGCTCCGTTCACGACTACAAAGATGCCCCGTAGAGCCTTTAAAAGACTGTCCTCGTAAGTCCTGGCAGCGAGCACCTATTCTGGTGTGACACGACACACGAGGGGTGATGTGGCCAACACCACGCCAGGGGGATGAGTTCAATGCGCTAAACGCTGATCCACCACTCGCTATAAACACACGCACACCAACAAATCTACTGGAACTGTTACACCACCCTGAACTAAACACCGTGGTCTCAAAATCCGCAGCAAACATTCCAAATTTATCTCACTGAATGTCAAGCCTAATCTTTGGCGACTTTAACTGGAAACATTGGTATAGAAGAACAACGTTGGAATGTTATCTGCATGTTGTCTTGTATAGGACACGTTGGTATGTTCTGTACGTTGTCTTGTATAAGACACGTTGGTACGTTGTCTGTAGGTTATAAAGAACGACACGTTGGTACGTTGTCTGTAGGTTATATAGAACGACACGATGGTATGTTGTCCACTGCTACAGGAGGCTGATACAACGCCTCCAGCTCCAGTGAGTGGTAGACTCTTCCCACAGTGAACAGCTCTCAGACCAAACGCAACCAACAGGCTGACAATACGCGGCTCCCTCGCATATATCTCCCTCCAGTTACAATGAAATCAAAGCGAATGTTGTTTTTCCGCACATCCTATCAGCCGACGTGGCCTGCCTCTCTGGGGAGAGCATCATTTCAAGCGGCATCGATCATTTCAAGAGAAAAACTCCGTAACCAGTATCAACGTTCAGAGGTCTCATCGAGCAGAGCCAAGTATGATTTATAACCAGTTACATATTGGGATCTGATCTTTAAAGGTGCATTGAACATTTTTGATACTCCTACTGATACTCCTGCTGTTATGGAGTTACTCATGCTGCCAGCTATGGCTGCAAAGTTTGGTCGTACATGTTATATATATCGTGTATTGTTAAATTTGAATCACAGTTCCTATGATCACTGTTATGTTTTTATAGCTTTATTTTGGTGATTTCGAAAACGTTTTGGATTAGCCATATTTGTTTGTTGTTGCACAGAGTTAGACTGATAACTTTAATCTAAGTTGTCTTATGGTTGCTATTGTTTGACTTGCATCCCACTGTGATTTTTGCACACTGCGTTGATATACAGTGCTTTTTCTGGAAGACTTTGCTGTTTTTTTCCTGGATTTTTCTGTTTCGCGTAGTCACTTTAAGATGTTTCTTGTTCATGTTTTTGTTTGTTGCGGTTGCACCCGATTCAAGAGCCGAATGGCTCACGGGGTTATACCTAATAAATTAACTGAACTGAATTGATTGTGGAGAAGGTAAAATGCCAATGTTCATCTGTTCCCACACGACAGAGCCAATCAAAAATCAAATTGTTACGTGGGTTGACAAATATAGCCCAATCCATATGGGTTTTTTTTTTTTGCAAAACCAGAGGAAGAGGAATGTTGGAGAGTGAGCTAAATGTTGACAATTGTTTACACGAAAGAATTACGCATCCTACCATTGACACCACGGCCGAGGGGGCCTCCTCCCAGCTCGAACGCTCGTCGACGTTGTCACGCGCGCGGAAGGGGACATGTATGTCCACGGATCCCGATGCCGAAAGAATAAAAAAAATTAGTCGATGAATAAATAGCCAGCTAGTAAATACGCGGTTATGCAGCAGGCAGTCTGCTTGTTGCTGATTCATTGTGCGGTTTGCGTTCTGCCCCGCACAGTAATGATTAATTATCCCTTACTGTGCATTACAGAGCCGGGTTGCTATTAAACAGCCATGAATACAGAACAGCGTCACTGCCAACATCTTAGCAATAGCAACACTGTATTGTATTCCCCCGTCTCTCACTATGCTACCAATGCTATACTCTTTGGTTCTTTCGGTAAAGTCACGTAGGTATAAAATAAAATAAATTAAATCACGTTTCGGGCGCAACACAAGCGTCCGTCATCAGGTAGAACCACTGCAGTCAAGAAAACTACCAATGCTATTGCTGCGCATGATGGCAGCATGCGCAACAACAGGAGCTCGGTGCCCAGTGGTGGGGTCTGCTGGCCACGACGAGAGGGCTTCGGGTGAGGCAGAGTTTGGGTGGTTTGGCTGCTGCTGCTCCTCCGTTGAAGGGGCGCGCACTGCAGTGGTTTCCTATTGGGTTGCATAACCACTCCTGTGGCTTAAATGTATCTCTACGAGTCTCCATGTATCTCGACGTCTCTATGAATCCCTATGTATCTCTGGGTTTAGTATATGGTCCATAGTGTGGGTTTGCACGGCCACAATCGCACGGCTGCGGCGTGAAGGAGATGTTTGCATTGGCCCGGGGACGTTCTGATGCGGTGTATGGTTCCACCGGTGTCTTAGAGAAATGCCAAAGCCAGATGGTGTGATGTTTGGGTCTCGAATAATATAATTTATAAGCCCTTTGTCAATCCACTGCTGGATGAAGGCCTCCTTCCCAATGTCATGTGGGTTATGGGGTTTACCATACTTCACTGCTGGTTAAGTGAGACAGGGCAGAGATCTCTCCCCATTGATGTCACCCACAGCCAGGAATCGAACACACACCATATACACACATACATTCCAACACACACCCACATCAATACACTAAGACAAAGATCCCATGTATAGCCTTCCTTTCCCGCATCTCCGATTAGCACGGTTGGCTAGGTACAGTGCGAAAGAAGTTCAATATACGTGTACATACATACAAACAAAAGACTGTTAGGGCAAGTGCTGTTAGCAAGCACCTATGAAGGCCGGCATGGCATACAACGGGCTGGGTGGCCACAACCACACCAGGCTGCTTGCTTTCCCTAGTAGCCACGGTTTCACATCACACCAGGTACTCATTTTAGGCTGAGTCGACCTAGGGGAGGCCCAGGACCGGTTCAGATAATCGTCACTGGTGTTGGCCGTGAGCGGGAATCGAACTCGGGTTGCTGGGTTCGTAGCGCAGCACGCTAAGCGCGACACCGCCGCTCCCCACACATATCCACACACGTACATACACACACATATCCACACACACACCACGAAGACAAACATCCTCCCTACCGCCTTCAACAAGCTGTTGCGAGCACCTATAAAGGCCGACACGGCGCACGATAATGGTGGTGTGTCCAGAACGCCCGACCGCCTTTGTCTCTCCGCAATGCTGATGTTTACACATCGCACCAGGTACTCATTTGAGGCTGAGTCGACCGAGGGGAGAGCCAAGGGCCCGTTTCAGGTTTTCGCCATGGAAGTTGGCCATGAGCGGAAATCAAACTGGTGGGTAGCCGCTGGGCACTAGCCAGTGTCGTGAAGTATGGTCAAACAACCCCCACGACCGACAGAGCATGGTAGGGGGGAGGGGATGCCTTCATCTAGCAGTGGATTGACCAAAGTGCCGCGATATCCTCCTGGTTGTTGTGTTTAATCAGCGTGGCTTCCTCATGGTCATACAAGTCAAGTTAACGTGAACCCTAAATAAACACGAGCTGTCGCCCGAACAGGAGGCACTCAACACGGCCGTCAAACACCAACAGTGTGTGGCCTTAAATGAAAGGGATGGATGTTTTGTGAAATAGCCCTTCTTCATCGTTAAATAAAATAAATATTTTTAACACCTACTATCGATGTAATGTTACGATGAAGGCCCCAGTGATATTTTTAAATTTACCTATTTTCAGTGAGAAAACGTGTGCATTTGTGTCATTCCTTCACGTAAAATTTTGGTCACAAAAGCAAAGTTTGTAGGGAACAATATCCATTTTACATGCCTTTGAAGCATAAGCAATTAGAAAATAACAATACTACCCAGGAACAAAAATTGTGTTACAAAGTTTCATTATTTCTTAAGGTGAATCATCGAAACACAAAATAATCACGGGCAAAGAAGTACCAACTACTTTGTTTTCATCAAACACACACACACACCTATGTGTTTATTAACATTGTACATGTTTTACCATCGAGAACCACAGGGGTGCAAGGCTGCAACAAATGTTAAACACCACTGCAGGAACACAACGCGACCCACTTTCTGTACCGAGGCCACCACAGAGCCGTGGTTCGTTCGACTCGAGGTTGTGTGGACCCACGGCGGATGTGGGCAGCAGAGGGCAGTACAGAATAATCCACTGCGGTGAACCTCACTCGGATGCCTCACCCCCCACCACCATCCCATTCACCAGCCCAACCCGCGATGGCCAGCGTCAAATAATCCCCACGACCGACGAGGCGCGCCATTCACCCAGCAGTGGATTGACAAGGTCTTGGAAATGATTAGTGATGTTAGGGTAACGCAAACGTGTGTGTGCGTGTGTTGACGTGCTATACAATTCCCGTTCACGGCCAACACCAGTGATGATTAATTATCCGGACCGGTCCTGGGCCTCCCCTAGGTGGACTCAGCCTCAAATTAGTACCTGGTGTGGCGTGTAAACATCGCCACTGGGGAGACAAAGGCGGCCGGACGTGGTGCTGGCCACCCACCCCCACGTATGCCGTTCCGGCCTTGATAGGTGCTCGCAAAGAGCACTTGCCCCAACAGTCAGTGCAGGCTTTACGGGGGAAAGTTGTCTTTGTTATGCCCTGCGAGAGCGGTGGCGCAGTGGTTAGTGCACTGTGCAACGAACCTGGCGACCAAAGTTCGGTTCCCTCTCACGACCAACACCAGTGACAATTTTCTAAACCGTTCAAGGTTCCTCCCATAGGTCGACTCAGCCTCAAATGAGTAGCTTGTGCAGTGTGTAAACGTATCCACTGGGGAGACAAAGGCGGCCGGGCGCGGTGCTGGCCACCCACCCCCTGTACCGACATCGTGTGCTGTGCCGGCCTTGATAGGTGCTCGCAAACAGCACTTGCCCCAAAAGTCCGTGAGGCTATACTGGGGGGGGAGGGGGTGTTATCTTTGTGTATCGTGTGTGTGTCGTGTTGTGTATTTACGTAGCAATTATACAACACATGGCAAACACATGCAGTTCTAA